AAAACCTTTTTTACAGAGTGCTTGCACTACGAGAACACTAATCCATGCAAGCTGTACATAAAACATTTCATCCTGGGGTGTTTTAGGGATAAGCAGTTGCTTGTCAGTAGTTTTGTAGTCATTGAGGGAATAGTAACAGAAGATACTTTCACTGTGAGGGTGGTCAGACACTGGAACAGGTTGCCCAGAGAAGCTGTGGCTGCTCCTCCCTGTAAGTGTTGAAGGCCAGGCTGGATGAGGCTTTGAGCAACCTGGTCTAGTGGAAGGTGTCCCTGCTGCTGGCAGGGGGGTTGGAACTGGATGATCTTTAAGGTCACTTCCAATCCAAACCATTCTATGATTCTATGATATGTTGAGTAAAAATAAGGATTTGTAACATTGGTGAAGACTTCCAAAGTTACTGAAGTGAAGAAAATTCCTCTCTGTCCCTCCCCATCCCCCAGAACAACCTGTTCTGTGGCCACGTAATATCTACTAGTAATCCGTTGAATAAACTGTATCTGCAAAGGTTTAGAGATTTTTAGGCTTGGAAGAGATTTGGAAAAATGCTTATAATCAGTAAAGTTTCACCCTCTCTGATAGTGCTTTGGAAAACAGCTTGAGCTGTCATCTCATCCCAGCTCCTTCCATGTTGTTATCAGGATGCTGTGGTAAATGTGATGGGTTTTTTCCTTCAGACACTTGAGCCGGCGCCGAGGAGGGCTGGCAGCGCGGCAGTACCCGTGCTCAGCAGCGAGGCACACTTGTTCTTTAGCAGGCACTGGGGTTTTTTTTTATTCATACTGTGACTTCTTGCCAGAATCCCAGTAGATGGATAGTTTTGCCCAGATATGAAAAAAAATTAACCAACAGTAGTTACATCTTTTTTTGTTTCAGTTTGTTCTATAGCTTTAGACTGATTTCCTTCTGCTGGGCGCTTTCTGAAGCTGCTGGGGCTTCTGCTGCTCCTGGTGGTGCTCAGTTTGGTATTGTTCTCTGTGCAGCCTTTCACACGCAGGATTTTTCTGATGTGTTCTGTATTTAGTAGAACAACTAAGAGCCGTGAGCCTGATTGCGTTGATTTGGCAGCGTGGAGCTGGTGTTTTTGTGTAACGTGTGAAATTGCTTTAATTGGAGAAGTTTTTTTCATCGGGAGTTGAAATTATTCAGCTTTACGATCGACGTAAATTAGGCTTTTCCTCATGGCTGCGTGAGGAAGAGGTAACTGAACACTGTTGCTAAGAAAGTGTGGTTTGATATCAGTCAGATTGATAACACAGAAGAAAGGAAGACTCGCACAGTGAATTTAACAAACACCTCTTTCTAGTGCAGGGTGAGCTGCTGAGTGTCGGTGTAGACTCGGGTTTGGGTCATCTTGTGACCAGCCTAGGTGGTGTTGTGTTGGACCAGTTGGAGACGAAGCTTCTCTGTAAGCTGAAGCTGTTCCATCTGCACTTCTTTAACTAAAACTTGTTTCTGGGTTTGGTTCAGGTCCTTGCTGCTTCCCATGAGGCTTGCAGGAATGTTTATATTCTAATATATTATGTGGAGTTAGAAAGGAATGGTTTGAGAAAGCTTTATCTAAAATAAGTTGCTAAGAGTTATAAAATAAGCTCAGATATATTTATCTTTGTATTATTCATTAAACCCCTTTTTTTTTTTTTTGAGTTGGTTTCATTTACTTTTTCTGGTAGTTTAGATTTATGGTTGCCTAATATTTAAGCTGTTGCCATTCCTGATAGAAATGTCTTGCTTTTGTTGAGTTTAAGGGAAGGGAGGCAAAAAAAAAAAAGCCAAATGGTCATATCATAGGATTTTCCTGAAGCGCTACGAATTTTCTTGAGCAGGCACTACTTGTCTCTGCTTGTGTTCTTAAACAGAGCATGAAATGCTGGCTCTGCTTATCTTAAAATAAAGAGAATTGTTTCTCTTTTGAGAATTAAAAAAGATTGAGAAGATTGAATGTTCAAAGCACTGATTGGATGAGTTGAGTGAAAACAAGAGCCGTGGAGACAGGGGTTTGTAGCTGATGTAGCTTGTAATTTGCCCATTAGAATTTATTGGAGTGTTTTGAAGAATTGAAATTTTTGTGAAAAGACCTTAAGCTGTTCTTTTAGTAATTTCCCTTATCTTAAGATAGACATTTAGGGGTGAGTGTAGGAGGGAAGGGATGAGTTCTGTCATTATTTAAGGGAGAGGTTAAATGTTTAGATAAGAATCTTATCTAAACATCGCTACACTTCAGAAGTTGTTAGTCTGTTTTTATCATGTGTATTCCTAACATAAGACTCTGAAGGATCTGGTGGGATTCAAGCCATACTCCTCCTTTTCAAGGGTGGTAAGGCAGGGTGGCCCAGGTTTTTTTTTTTAAAACATTTAAAATCTGAGCTGGCTTTATGAGAAAGGTGGAAAGCCCCTGGTAACTTGATCTTCTTTTTTGAAACTGGTCACACATATGCTAACAGATATTCTCATTTCTTGTCTTCTCTTACTACATCTTGCATCTTACCCAGTCTTGCATCATGTCTTAGATAATAGACTTCTTGGGACTGGCTTTGGGTATCCTCACATAACACTGGTTGGTTGTCAGTCTGAGCCTTCAGGTACTGCAGCAGTGCAGATACTGAAATTACATGTTTCTGTGATAATTGTGCACCGAGCTCTCCTGTAATTTTCCTTGTCAGTCTAGTTGTCGTCTTGCTTTCGCTTGTATGACTTTGAACCCTAAATGATACTAAATCTCACTTAAGTAGCAATGAAACTCATTTACTTATTTATGACCTACCTAGCACAGATAAACTAAGCTGGCAAGCCAATGGCACCTCATGACTGTGGTGTGGTTTCCCCTCTGCCCAGGTGGATGTTCTATTAAAGTAGAGCTTGATAGTGTTGGAAGATGATGGCCTTTGGGAAGAATGATGTAACTGCCCCCCAAACATAAATGCTTAGGAAAAATGTTTGGCACTTTATCTCCTGAGCTAGGAGCAGGTTATCGTTGTTGACTCTTGTTTTGGCTGACTATGGACAATTGCAGGTCATGGCCTGATGTGGTATTTTTGTTTGTTTGTTCTTATTCCTGTAGACTCCTGTGTTACCGACTGAGAGTTGTGATGAGGCTGTTTTAAGTCTACAATCTGTTTTCTAAGCAAAGGAGAGAGAACAGAGCTTCATCATTCTGGTTTATCATGCTCTGTAATTTTACTGTTGAATTGACTTGGTAATTGAATGCTTCTCGAAATATAAAGTACTAGAGTATACTGGAGGGAGAATGTAATACAAATTTGTTCAGTTCCCCTTAAAAAAAAAATAAAATGAAAGGCAGCATCTTCCAGGCAGGCTCAGATCAGCTCTGGTCTTTAAGAGAATACTTCTGGAAGTCTGTAATTTCTGGTGTTAAGATATTCCGAGCTGGTAGAGTATTTCAGATGTCAGTGTTTGAATTGTAAATAGTCCTTGGGACTGCTGGGCATGCTGTTACTTGGGTACCTCCACAAACACACACACAGTCACTGTGCACAGGAAAGTTCTTAGGAAAAATGAAACTGTTGGCATAATCAAAATAGTTGTATTAGCTAGTCAAATGGAGAGAAGTTCTCCTGTTCTATTTTTGCCAGAGTGCTTTTAAGTTAAAAACACAATAACTTCTGGAGATGTTCTTTGAGACCTGCTGCATAAGGGGTATGCAATCTGCAAGAAACTAAACACATGATCTAGCGTATTTAAATCTCAAGAGCAGTTAAATGAGCACCAGGACTCTGCCCAGACATGAAGTTTTCAAACTAATGAGTGCCTTAGCAGGCAAGTGGATTTCTATTTGAGGCTGTTGTGTGTTTGAACTTCATAACATTTAATTCTTGCTATAACTGCAAACAGGAATGAAAACTCAGGTGTGAAATTAAATAATTATGGCACCATTATTTGAATATAGACCTGGGTTTAATATTTGGATGAGACAGATTGTTGGGTTTTGGTTTAGGGTGGTTAAGCTCCTGTGTTAGTGATTGAGAGAACTGGAGGCGTTTTTGAGTTGTGTGCAGTGGGAATGGTAAAATGATGAAATTGAGGCTTGGAAGATGCGTTGCAAAAGTCAGCAGTGTGGGATTGAGATTGAACTGCCTGTCTGTTTCAGCTCTGAAGCACTGAGCTTTGCCTACCACAGTTAGCACTGTGCTGTTTTGTGAACTACAGAAATGCAAAGGAAAGCTATACCGGAGGCTTGTTTCAGAACTTAAATGACTGGAAAAATAATGGGAGGAGCAAGGAGGATCGTGCCTCACTGGACTTACACCAGTGAGAATTTACAGACACGTATGGCACACAAGTAAACGTATGAGGACCAAACTTTCACAATCTCCAAACTGCCACTTAATGCCAGGACAACACTGTGGCCTTTCTTTTTTTGAAGTTTGATTGTTTGTTTGTTTGTTTTTTTACTCTAGAGGCTGACATCTTTTGAAAAAAATCAATATGGAAACAAACTTCTAAACCAGTGTTATTTTAGTGAGAGCTAATTGAGAATGGATTAAATAATTTAAAGGCTAAATACTGCTGAAATCATTGTTGTTTCTGTAGTGCTCTCTCTTTGAAAACAGTTCTGTATTCCATTATTATAGGTTGAGTGATGAACAATGAGTTGTAAAAGGGAGAAAACCCCATGTCTGAAATGTCTTATACAGTATAACAATGGTGCAAGAGCTAGGGCAGAAAGAGAAATATATGCAGGGCTTTTAAAGAGATTTTCTAATTGCTCTACTAAGCACCATTAGTAATTAGCTCTTTTCTTGACATTAAATGTCACATACAGCGATTTGAGTGCGTTTAACATTTGAGATTTGTATTTCTGTCATGTGTAGATGAGTGTTTCACTCATGTTTGTCTGGCTTCCCTTAACTGAGCTACATTTTGGGTTGGATTTTTCTGATCTGTTTGGCTTATTCTTTTTTAATCTGTGTTTCTGCAAGTAAAGCATGTGGTTTGGGGAAGAGCAAAATTTAAAGCTTGAATTCTTTTATTTCCTATAGGTTCAGGTGCAAGTCCATCCTAAACTTTCCTCTACTGAAGATGCATTACAGTATGTGGAGGAGTTAATTCTCCAGTTGTTAAATATGTTGTGTCAAGCCCAACCAAGAAGTTTTCTGGATGTAGAGGTATAGAGAATAATTATTAAAAATCTGTAATAATTTGAGCTGTTACATGAAAAGTTAATATGTTAATGATGTCAAATGTAAAAAGGAAAGCGGTAATTATGTATTTTTATGTAGCAGAACATTCCACATAAAGCTTGCTGAGTTACATAGTAGCTGATTTTCCTGTCAATTGAATTTGTTGTTCAGTGCACAGTAAAAGTATCTCTGAACTGGATTACTGTACGAGAGATGGTGAGTGTAACTTGTGTACATAAAAGCTGACTACTTCCTTTCAAAAGTCTTTTTTCCCCCTGCTGATACTGTATGCAAACTAGAGCTGCTTAGTCTGAGGCTCTGTGCTGCTTTCTCAGCGTGGTGATTTAAGCTGATAAACCCCCCACCCACCTGGAAGTTTGAACAAAAATAGTTCAGTCACTTTGTCAGGATGAGTTGAGGAACACTTCTTTCCTCTATACAGAAGCCTCTTGTCTTACAATTGCCTTTTCAAAGATCTGCAACTTCTGTTGCTTAGAAAAGCAGCTTGATGTTTGAGAAGAGGGCTTGATCTGAGAAGAGTTTCTCCATCTGAGAAAGAAATTAGTTAAGCTAAATGAGTTAAGTTCCTAAGCCCGTGAATATCTTGGTTGCCCTTTGTGCTTAACCATGATTTGAAGACAGTGGAGCCAAGCTACAGACTTCCGTGTGCAGTGTGCCTGTTGGTTTGCAGTACTCAGAGGCTGTCCCTGTGCCAGGTTAGGAAACAAAGCAAGAAGCAAGTTCCTTGTGTTCTCAAGAAAGTGGACTTTCTTGAGAAAAAGAACAACAAAAAACCAACAAAACAAAAACCCAAAACAAAACCAAAACTCTTTAAAAGAAAAAAAAACCCCAACAAAAAAAACGTAGCTGTCTCTGAGCTCAAGATTCATGAATTTCATCCTTCCTCTTCTCTTCTTAACACTGACACCTCTAATGGTGTTCCAGTGTCCCCTTTCATGGCTGGCCTGTTTTGCAACATCATTCTGGTTTGGCAGCTCAAGAGACAAGAGAGTTGTGGAAGATTGTTTAATGCTGTGTTTTAAACAATGCTAACAAAAAACTGGACACACAGCGTTACATTACGAGTCTTACGGCTGTGAAGTCAGGATGAGAAATGCAAGAATTAGAGGTGATCAAGCAACCTCAATTTATCTGCTTTGTGTTTATGCATAATGATACTGTCTTTAATTATATGGTCATACACATTTATTTTTCCCCCAGGACACTTTCATTGTTCAATCAGCAGGCTGGACTGTGTTAGGGGAATGAATTGGTTTTAGTGAATTAGACTTTTTTTTTTTTGGTAGGACTTCTTTCCTTTTGCAGAAGTGTTAGGGGGGAAAAAAAGAAAAGCCTGTACTTTAGAAAGTTAGGTGCTACCTTTATAAAATTGTGTTCTGTCCCAGTTTTTTGTCAGAAAGTTTTTGTTTGTGTGCCTTGTCTTGTACCAGCTCTTGGTAAGTGGTCATTAACTTCATCTTCCTCATTTCATGGTTGCTCAAACGAGGGTCATATTTACGTAAGTGAGCACTTGCAACTGAAACAGTCAGTGGGAACTGTGGTCTGAAAAAATAAAATATGAAGTTATCTGAGAAATTATATTTCTGGCATCTTTGAACACCAGGGCTGCCAAAACTGGTGAAGCTTTTGAACCTACAGAGACCTGTTTGAGTTCCAGTAGGAGAGTCGTTCAATGCACATGAGAGTGTAGGTGTCCTCAGGCACCCCGACTGCTGGAAGGAATAAATAAAATGGGGCATATATGGTCCAACTGTAGACTGTGAAACTGTTTTAAAATATGTAGGTGCTGTTGGACATTCTCTTTTCCTATTATGTTCGTTGCCAGAGCAGTTTGCATGTTTACAATCTGGACCATGTGCTAATTAGTAAAGAAACTAAAACTCATATAATCTCATTCTGTACAGGAAATAAATAACATGTAGTCATGTATTTAAATGCTGAATTACCAGGTATGTGCACAAGGGGAGCAAATTGTACCTGCAGTGGCAACTTAATTCTGGCATTTCTCAAATTTTGAGCACTAGATTATTCTGTGATAATGATATTCTGATACAGCCTTGTGAACGTAGAGAGCAGCATGTACCAAAGTGTTGTACAAGCTTCTATAGTGGAAATACTGACATTAGCAAACATTCCTTTGTTAAGTAATGGAAAGGGATTTGTTAATGTTAATGATATTGCTAAGCTCATTCAGATTGTGCATTTAGCCTTTAGTCTTGGTCTGTTGTTTTTTTTTTTAAGGATCGTGTTCAGAAAAGTTTTCCCCATCCTATTGATAAGTGGGCAATAGCTGATGCCCAGTCTGCTATTGAGAAGAGGAAACGAAGAAATCCGTTATCTCTCCCAGTAGAAAAAATCCATCCTTTATTAAAGGTAAGCAGTGATGTCATCTTGCTTTTAGGATGCATTAAGTTGACACCTGTGTTTCTTGCAATGTCTGTATGCTGCCTGAAATGTAAATGAAAAAGAATATCTGTTTGTTACATAGTTTTATTTTAAGTGTTCCAGTTTAGTTAATGACATATATTTCTTTTTCACTTAAAAATTTGTTGATTCTATATTGGACAAATGAAGGCAAGTACTCATTTGCTATGAATTTTTATTGTTCTTGTTTCATTTTGTATGACTAAGAAAACGCTCAAAAAAACTTCTGGAAATAGCCCTAAATGTTTTAAGTGACATTTTTGGGATAGTCATTGACTGTGGTCACTTCCACAGTTAACAGAGCAGCATCTACAATGACACTGTTTCTCCTCTAGGCCTACAGACCTATGTTTCTATTACTAAAACAGTCTGTATGTGGTGAATGTTTATTGAGGATGGTCTTAAACTTACTTGTTACAGCTGCACCCTATGCTGTGTATTTCATTGACTAACAGTGGAACCTTTTTTTTTTTTTTTTCCCCTCATTTCAGGAAGTTCTAGGCTACAAAATTGACCACCAAGTGTCTGTTTACATAGTGGCAGTGTTAGAATACATTTCTGCAGACATCTTAAAATTGGTTGGGAATTATGTGCGGAATATAAGACATTATGAGATTACAAAACAAGATATTAAGGTGGCAATGTGTGCTGATAAGGTAAGCCTAACTCTTGTTTCGTGTGCTAACAGGAAGTTTTAGTTAAGTTTTGAGAGGATTATGTCTATTCCTTATTGGGTACATGGAGCATTGGACCTTTGAAAGAAGAAATTACTGCTATAAATATGGTTGCAGTAACAGAGCAAAGCTACCAAAAAGCTAAGTGAGCTTACAGAGCTATTAGTTGTGCTTATTAATAGTTAAGTCTCTCTTGCCTAATCTCAGCAATGTGTGAATACTTTAAAAATTATTGTGAAACAGCACTAACTTAAAAATTTAACATTTCTAAGCTGTAGTAGTGGAGTCTTAATTTGTAGCTCCAGAAAAATGCTGAAGTTGAGCTTGGGTGTTCTCCCAAAATAAGTAAGACTGTATTGCATGTAAAAAGTAGTGTTTCGATGGTCCAGCATTTTAAAACAAAAACCCCACCTGCTTTAGCATCTCAGCCCAATCCTTCTTAGCAGTCCATATTTTTATCTTCAGAAGATTCATTAGGTTCAGACAGGAGTCACCTATCTTACCAGCAATGATAGAGCAAGGTCCCCCATCTGTCTTTCAGGTGCCTTTGCACTGTAGGTACTGTGGCCACCTCATCAGCATCTCAAGTTTTCCATTGTTTACAAAACAAAACTTGAAGTTAATCCTTTAAGAGATGGGATTTAAGAATCTCTGATCTTGCTCAAGTCTAGGGTTTCTCGGATTTCTCACTTCAGTATTTTGTCTTGGTCTGTGCTAATATCTTTGGTTGGTATCATCTCTGTTTCAATGAATAGTTTTATCTCATTCCT